ATTGCCATTGCTCTGTTCACATAAAAATATTATTATTCTTACAATTATTTCTCCACCCAACTCCATACATACTATTACTTTCTATTCTTCCAGTATTAAAACCATAAGCAGGAATAGCAGAGACACCAGATTCTATTAATAGTTGTATTGATTGATAATAATAGTCTATCTTACTTTCAGTAACTCCATAGGCAGGATTAGTTGATACATCAGCATTATACCCTACATTATGATGTCAATTCATTATTGTACTTATATAATATAGGTCTTACTTTCACCAGTAACTCCATAAGCAGGATTAGTTGATGCCCATAATGTATTTTCCATATTTGGCACTATAAATTGATTTCTTTATCATGTTTACATATACACACTTATTATAATAAACATTACCATCTGATTGTTGATTTATATCAGCTTTTATTTCATCAGAACTAAAAGTATCATTTCCATTTGATGTTTTATACAATCTTTTCCTACACACTGATACACTCACTATTAATATTACTAGTATAGTAACTACCAGTAATATAAATACACTACTAATACTTCCTACTATTATTAGTGTATTACTGACTGTTACAGTAGTTTGTAATGTACTAGCTGGTGTACTCATCACTGATGTAGTACCTATAGTCAATGATAGACTGTTACTTGATATTGAGTTAGTTTCAGTATATTCCATTGATTCCATTGTTACAGTAGCTGTGGAGTATATGCTTGATGATGGAAGCACAGTAATGACAGTATTAATATGTGTACTACTGATTGTTGAAGTAGCTGTATTTGTGAAAGGCTCTATATGACATTGGAAATAAATAATTATTTACTTATGTGATGTAAAATTTTATTCTTACCTACTACAATTGAGATGAGTGGATAGTCATTGTTATCTAATGCAATTAACTCATTGTTGTTCCCCAGTCTGTAATTGTGTGGTCCATTGTATTGTTGATAGAACATTAAATTAGTAGAACTACTTTTAATCATCAGTATATCACCAGGTTGTACTGTTATCTCATTGCTCATAGTAAAATTATATAAAATAGAAGTTATCATAACAGCATTACTAGCACTGATGTTCAATGTTGCTGCTGTAGTAGTGAGATTATTTGAATGTCTTATTTTAATTACTGATACTTGTGCAGGAGCATAAACTATCCAGTTAGTAATAATACCATGACATGTGAACCTTATATCAGGAAATATTCTAGTGTCAGAAACATAATATGAATTAGTAATAGAATAACTTAATGAATTGATTGTTTTATCAGGTACAAATTGTGGAAAGCAACCTAAATTAATAGAAATGAGTTATTTTTTATCATTATGATTGATTTATTACATACTTGTATTCTGTACTATTGGATGTATTAGTATAGTGACATCTTCAAGGTCAACCTGTTGGCCTCCTCCTGATATTCTAATGTCACTGTTGTTAATGAGATTTGTTTGTACTTTTCCTGTTCTATCTTCATCATCCATACCAGGTAGGTCAACATAATGAAATCGAACAACACTTCTGTCATCAGGAGGTTGATATACACCAATCCTGTATCCACTGGAGACATTTAATGGAGTAGGGAGACTGAAATGATACTGTCCATTAGTTGTAAAGTTATCAGGAGTCAGTCTAATTTCAACAGACATCACTCTAGTGTACACATCATCATCATTAGTTGGAGCCCATACTTCAAATTTTGGATATAAATTTCTACTAACAGTATCATTAACTGTCCTTACATCAACTCCAATCAATATTTCTGTTGTAACTGTAGCACAAGTGAATTTTATGTTGTCCTCAATGACAATCCATCTTGTTGCTACATCCACCACAGGGTTCTCATAGTTAGATAATCTGTTATTACGTAAATTTCCCATTGGACTTGTTGTTTTACCCTGTAGAAGACTATAATCCATAAATCCTTCAGTACAAGACTCTCCATTAACCTCCAGTAATATTCCATTACTCATGAAGCACAGCAGTAGTACTAATAGACAACAGACAGACATTACTTTCACAGCTTGAATGAACAAACTGAAAATG